CAACAACCCGTCCATTAGGGTACATTAAATTAATGACATCTGTGGGGGAAGGAAGAGACGTCAAAATCATGAACTCAAAGTTCCTTGTAGTTCTATACAAAAGCGTATGCAACTGCATACTAGGTAGACCTTTCACATCAATACTAGATGTTATGGCTTCCACGATCCACCTCAAGCCTAAATTCCACAATCTTCACGGTGAGGCAAACACAATCAATGATGACCTCGAAAGAGCCAAAATGATCTACCAGACACTACACCAAGCCCAATGAGAGTATGAGGCCATGGATATCAATATAGATTCTCTCACCGGCTAGCTAAGGAGCATGAACATTCGGCATCCTGTGAGAAGATCGAGTCATGCTAGTCAAAAAAGAAGGAATGGTTGTACCAGCAAGCTACAAACCAGAGGAAATAAGCAGTTGTATGCCCTCCCAGTTATGTTCACATTTTTCTTATGTTTTTGTTTCTTTATATAATGATTATCTCAGCAAAGTGTAATGCAATATTTCCATTATTAATAAAAAAACACAAGTTCTAAAAATATTTCTTTTCTTTATTATTGTGAAAGGTAAATATGAGTCTGAGGTATGGCCGAAGAGATCAAGGCTCCAACACACAAACTTAAGGGTGTTATCATAAACACCACAAGTGCATGCATATATAAATCAGATCCCATGACGTAAAGCACACACAAAAAGAAAATGAAAAAAAAAAACTAAATTGGCTATAACAGGTCGCGCCCCCTTTTGGTTGTTAGCCATCCCAAAGGTTGTAGTGGGTTTTTTCACAAGTCAACCTCAAACCAGGTCTACACTTGATGTTTCAGTGCTGATAATTTTCTCATACCCATTATTTTTATGAGCCATTTCTTTCATTACCATAAGTAAATATAAACCATTTAAGTTAAAAAAAAAGTCTACACCTAAGGGGTACATACCCTTGGTTGGGCACAATCCCAAGTCGTCCAATAAACTTCTAGTGAAAACCTCACAATGTAACGCGAAATCCAAAACCATTAACTCGAAATCCAACGCATACACCTTAATCAAGTAAAAGTGATATCTTAAATTCAAATTCACATACTTATACTTCCCAGTGCAGGGTGTTACATTTGCAAGAAAAATAATAATAAGAGTGAATAGAGTCAAAGCTAATTTCTAAGCGAAACAACTTTCCATCTTAAAATATATAGTCCGACCATACTTTCTCCTTCAAATATGCAGAGGAGAACAAAAAATACTCCACTTGAAGTAAAGAATTTTCTAAAGACTCGTAGACAGTCGCAAGACCAGTAGTGGACAATTTATTTAGTTTTTGGGCCAAATATATATTTTAAAGGCACAAGTTTTCAAGGTCCTCTTGAACAGCAGAGAGATGTGCCTTTGTAGCAAATAGAGTGACCTGAGCAGAAGTTATGGATTTATCCTTATTCACTACTTCCCTCACTAAGAGCTTTACATGGTTAAATAAAGATTCGGGGAGATTGAAGGAGCTCAAAGCTTAATTTACCCCTGTAAGAGAAACATAAGCCTTTTGCACTTCTTGCAGGTACGTATCTTGCTAATCCGTAAGGTTATGAACACTCTCCTTCAGGAGTCATCTCTCCTTAAGATACCAATCGGATAAAAAAAACATACCAATGAACGGCCCACCATTGTCCAAAATAGTAGAAGCTCGGGGAGTGTAATACACTAGATTCGACAACTCCTCCTCAAGAGCCTCATTGGCCAGGTTAGTGAGGTAAGAGTAGTCCTATTTCAAAGTGGATGCTCGATGCTCTTTTAGAGTGATGGGCTCTAGCCTACCCAAGAAGACAAGAGTCGAAAGACTCAACAGACACGAAGCCCTCCGAGATTCACCAAGAATGCATGCATCAAAATAAGGCCTTGAGGTAGTTCCCCCTCGAGATTCCAACTGATGTGGTAGAAGTATATTTCTCTCTATTCTAGCTGGAGGGGATCATCGACCAACAGTGGAGTGTTCGAAGGACCAACAATCGTAGGGACCACTTAAATTCCCCTATTCATTTGGCAGGTCGTCTCATCATTCTTCATCAAATCTGCATATAACAATTATATAAAAATAAAAGCATTACAAATAACAAAAGTGATAAAAAAGAATAAAAACACTGTAAGCTTACAAAAAATGACCGTCATATCTTCCTTGGTACGAGCGTCCATCAACATGCGGGTTTTAACAAGTCGTTTCAAGCATATATTTGAAGCTTTATCCCGGAAAATAACGCCTTAGGCATAACTAAACACTTTGAAGAAGGTGGTCATCCATTTCTTTAGATAAATCTCCTTTTGAGATATATCATTTTCCTTGTATACATATAATCTAGTCCATGTCAGAAAGTAACATTGGTTCCAATAATTATCAAATAAGTTGGTATACATGTCCTTTGTTCTGGTCCCTATGGTACATGTTGTCGCATGAGCCTCCTTTTGGAGAGGAGCAACTAAGAAGAACCTATTTTTGAAATGCTTTACACTATCTCAAAATACTTTGAAACAAAGGGTAAGATGCACCAATGTGATCAATCCCGAGCTCTGCGCGTAGTTCGCTGAACTATATTATACTCTAAAAAGATTAAAGAAGAGGGATAAAGAAGGCTTTCCTCCTAGGTAACTGCACCATTACTTGAAAAACTTCATGTAAGCCTAACTCACAGAATTCGACTGCGAATAAGCAATCATCAGGTGGTCTAAAACATCTATTTCAATTTTTTAAAGGCAAATGAAGACCCAAAATTGAAAAGGTGCACTCATAGAAAGGATTGGCGCGCCCTCTATACTCACTGCAAATCCTTTCATCTTCCTCAGGAGTGAGTACATCCTAATCTGAATAAGGACCCACGTCTAAGAAGACACTTTCAATACCACCTTCACGAGAAAATATAGAAGTAGTTAACAAAATAACGTGATGAACCTAAGAGGAAGAACTATCCTCTTTTGATATTCGACTCATGATAGACACCATTTTCTTTGATTATAGAAAATAGATTGTTGTAGAAATACATACGACGAAAGAGAAAAGGTAATGTCTCAAAAAACTATATAACTGACTCTTTAGAGATTGCACAATGACATACTAAAAGAAAGATAATAAACATTATCAATGTCCCAAATTATCTAAGGAAAACACTCAAGTACTTCAGTTTTCAACGATCATTATGACAGAACTAACAAAAATACATTTGAAGCATAAGACACATTTAAGTTGTGAATTCGAAATGACATCAACATCACCTTTTGGCTTCCCATTCAAGTTGTGATGTAGTCGACACGAAAGGACAAATACGACAAAAGCACTCACACTACAAAGAACAGGCAAGGGGCTTAGGAGCAACTTTTATGAGCCGATCAAAAGGACCACAAACTGCTGTTTAGATAAGGCAAAAATCAACCAGATCATCCGCAACATAGGATCATTATCCCGGGCTAGTCCACAAGCGATCTAGACCCATGATCCATCCAACGACTATTCGTATCCTATGCTTAAAGATCAACTGGTAGTTATAACTACTCAATTATATGAAAAGGAAGCACACCATTTTTTAGGTACAATTCAAATTTAAATTTCATTCACTCATTTTGCTCATATATTGACTTAAGTGTTAGAGTGCTAACCTTACAAATCAGTCTATCGCTCATCAAAAGCTTATGTATATCATTATCTCACATAACCTCCTATTTCTGATCAATTCTGATTTCATAATGGCATAATATTGTTCTAGACTGGGCCTGGACCTGCCCCTCAGCCGGGTAGTCCCAACCCAACACTACGTTTGGGAGGCCCAATAAGGCCAAGCCTCCCATGTCGGGCACGAGCCACATATGTCGGGCAGACGACTCCTTTGACGGGCAGACTCACACGTTTCTCCCACGTTCTCCACGTGCTCCCCCACGCGGGGACACGTCATCAGGCAACTACCCACCTCTGAAAGAGTTGGTCAGCCCACCTTCCAAAGATCACGGGGCAGTTGATCTAGGGCGAAGACCACATGCTGGTCTCCACTACACCATGTAAGCCCTGACAGTTACTTGGGTTGGGCCTGACAGTCTGGCCCAATGCAAGTAACCGTTGGCCCTGCGCTGAGGTCTCTCTATAAATACCCTCTTTCACTAGAGGGTCAAGTATTCTATTCTTTACACCTATTTCTCTGTATTTTGCTCTTCCACTCTGATCCTTTACTCACTTAAGCATCGGAGTGCCTTGCAGGTACACCCCCTTCTTTCTCCTTAACCCTGGTGAAAGTTGCAATCCAACTACGCGTGGCAGACCATTGATCCTTTCTGATCTGGTGAGATCACATATCATATTTGATTTTTTTTTTTAAGTATTTTAATTATTTTGTAAGAGAAAGCTTGATTGGTTTTTTATATTTATTTTAGGTTAAATTTTATGTATAAGATATTTGCAGAAGTCTTTTATCTATATTCTCATGAGTTAATATAGTTAAGAAACGTTAAGGGTTGATTTAGTGGTGGAGGCTTGAGTTTTGAGAGTATACTCCTCTTAAAATCTCAGATTCGAATTTTATTAGGTGTAATTAATTTTTATGTTTGAATTAATTGATCGCATGACCAAATACTAAGATTTAAAATAAAAAATATATACTTAAGGATGTTTAATGGCTTCTTGAACTGAATATACTCATAATTTAGTTTAAGGATGTTTAGTGGCTTCCGAATTTTTTAGTTTTTTATGCCTGGGAATTTTTTTAAAAACCTAATTATGAGTATATTCACTAATGCCCTTCTAGTATATACAAAGTATCTATTATTTAAACAAAAATTGATAAATTATCTATTAAGAATTCAAATTAAATCAAATGACTACCTTTGACTAAAAACAAAAGCAAATTCCCAACGTGGATAAGGGCATTTTGGTAAATTAAAGTGGTGTTTCGTATATAAATCGCGTTGCCATTAAGCATTTGTGGCTGAAATTCGATCGAGAAAACCTCAACCCAAGCTCAAACGCCTATCATCATGGTTTCTTTGGTAATCGTCTTCATTTCTCATTTATTTCTTCAATTTAGTTTTAGATAACTATTTTTATGACATTGTTCATTTCAAGATTTGTTCAAGTTTTTGCGTTTGTACTCGGCTTTTGGTTTATAGGAATTTTTTTTATCTTTGCAATATTTTTACCTCAGGTTTTATCAAATTCAGTATACAGAACTTGCATCATTAATTTTGAATTGAAAAATGAAAATTCATTTAGTACTTAAGGGTTTTGCGTCTTGTGTATGAAGGTCATGAGCTATTTGTTACTATTACTCATATTTTTTAGTATATAATTAGTGAGTTAGGTTTTATAGGAATCTACTTAGATGATAGTTTTTTCGAACGTGAGGAATTGAGAGGAGTACACTCTCAGATCCAAGCCATTTTTGCAGAAATAAGAGGAATCCGATTTTCATATTTTCTTATGTTATTTTTTCTAGGATCCCCGAGAGGAAGTCATTCAAGCATGGTATATGGATGATAGCAATGAAGATCAACGTCTTCCCCATCACAAAGAACCCAAGGAGTTCGTCTCATTGGATCAACTTGCTGGTGAGTTTCTTGTTCTCTGTGTCAGTTATATTTACATGTAAATTGTAGGGTTTGCACTCAAAAATCATGTCTGAACTTTGGTTCTGGTTAAAATTGCAGAACTTGGAGTCCTTAGCTGGAAATTAGATGCCGATAACCCTGACACAGACCCAGAGCTGAAGAAGATCCGTGAAGAACGCGGTTACTCTTACATGGTTAGTGATGCTAATGTTTTATTGTCATTGTTTAGATAGAACTACCTTTCGCTTTTACTCCACAATAAATATGTATATGTAAAGAAATATACAAAAAGGGCAAAACCGTGACTGTTTAAGTATATGTAATATGTAACATTGATAACAATTTATGGGAAATATAATAAAAAAATTTCTTTTCGTTTTAATGTCATATATTGCATTTTAACATTCTGGCCTTGTTCATGTTTTTTACATTCTTATCCAAGGCATCATTTTGTGTAGGATGTTTGTGAGATCTCCCCAGAAAAGATGCCAAATTATGATGCGAAGATCAAGAGCTTCTTTGAAGAGCATCTACACATTGACGAGGAGATCCGTTACACTGTTGCTGGAAGTGGTATGAACAATTTTTTTGTTTGATATGATTTTCTAATTATCATGCCTACCCTGTTAAGTTGCTAAGTATTCTCTGTTTTTTTTAGGTTACTTTGATGTAAGGGATCGCAATGAGGCTTGGATTCGTGTATGGGTGAAGAAAGGGGGAATGATCATTTTACCTGCTGGAATTTATCACCGTTTTACATTGGATGAGGGCAATTATATTAAGGTATTGATTGTTCCTTCACTAGTTTCCTCTGTTGCAAATATAACATTATTATGTCCATAAGCTTTTCATTTTTCTGTATGTCTATCTCATTTTTGGGTAACTTTAGCTTTTGAACTTCTTTTAATACTTTACTTTAGAACATTATCTGACCTGCACATATTTCTTGAAAGTTCTTTTGTGTGTCTGACCTTCACACATTTCTTTAGAAAACAGAAGGATTTGATTGCAAAGACGAGGAAGTAACTTGAGTTGTGTGACATATTACAAGCCTATTTTTGTTTAACTTTTAGCATTTAATGTGCTTGTTGAACTTCTTTTTTATTTGGGTGGGTGGTGTATCTCAACTGGTATTTGCTAGTTGGGCTAGATGGGGGCAAGCTGTTGGTCCAGGGTTCAACCCCGAGCAGAAGATTAGATGGGTGATGTTGAATTTCTCTGTGTTTTCTCATATTGTGCTAATGTAAATAAGTTCTTATACTTATAAATCAACAGCTTTATAAAAAAAAACTTTATCTTTAGCATTTGCAGAGATTAGTCTACCTCATGTGTTTCTTACATGTTTGTAAATCACCAGGCTTTGCGATTTTTTGTTGGTGAACCAGTTTGGACCCCATACAATCGCCCACACGACCATCTCCCTGCAAGGTATGATTTAACAAGTTCTGTAGTAGCATATTGGACAATCAGAGACTTTATGTCAAACTCATATTGCGGTTTCAATTTGCAGAGGGGAGTATATCAAGAATTTTGTGGAGAAGGATGTTGCCAACCATACTGTTGGCGCCACTGCATAATTTGGTTTCTGCTTGATTATAGCATGGGATAAAAAGGACTAAGGCTTTGTTTGATGCTAAAATGGTGTTTGAAAATAATAATAATGGTCTCTTTAACAGAGGCTCATCCTCTTTTGTTTGGTATGTAACCTTTGAGCCTGGATGTTGGTTGTATTTCATGCTATCGTGTTTGTTTCCTGTGTTGTATGATTAAAAATTGCATTTACAAGTAGTATTATTATTGTTCAGTATTGGGGACAGAATAAACAGACAGTAATAGAATGTTGTTGTATTATAATGTGCTGTTTGGTTGCATTTTACTTTTACAATTGTTTTAGAGTGTTCGTTTAAGATTATTTTGGGATAATTTATTTTTAATGTTATTTTTTTAGTTTTTAAATTGGGGTCTAATTTTTTAGGTTCAGAATATAGGAAGTTTAAAATTTTAAAAATAAATGACTTTCAAAGTAAGTACCGTAAAGTTAAGGTTCTCAAATTAAAAGTTAAGCCAAGCCAAGCCTCAGCTTTTTCAGTCAAATATTTCAGGGATTACTTTTTCCATCTGCTTCCTTACCATGGTGAAAAATCACAACTATTTTTAAAATTTGGAGATGTATTTTTAAAATATAGGAGTCTAAACTCCTCTAAAAGAATATTTCTTACATGTATTGCTTGTGTTAAACAAAGGAGTGAACTTGGATTTTAAAATCTGGACAAATATTACCTCTAAAAGAATATTTCTTATTTCTTATATGTATGCTTGTGTTAAACAAAGGAGTGAAGTTGGATTTTAATACATACATAGATAGATAGATAGCAATAACACAAACATTATTTACAATAAATATCAACAATAAAGAAACGGTAGTGACCATGCATCTAAACTAAACTCAATCTTCTGCACAAAATGTAAATAAACTTGTTTATATTTAGTGTAAACTCAATCTTGTATTGTTTCATGCTTAGTGGATACTCCATAGATTTCAGACAAGACTTTTTTATTTCCTTCAAGTTAATGGGAGGTACTGATCATTCGCCGGGGAATTGTTGTTGTTGTTGGAAAAGGCGATGGCCAGAAATTCGAAGGTGTGTTATAATGCTAAACGTGATATCGTGCATTCTGCCATTTTGTTTCGTGCTTTAAAAATCAGCTGCTATAAACACTTTGTGCCCTGGTCAAAATCTTCACACCCCCTTAGCTATTTTGAACGGATCCAAAAATGAGATGCCATGTTGTTTGGCGGTTATGCCGGTTGATTGGTGTTTAACACGATGAGGGAAAAAAGGATCTTGGTTGGTGGTTTTGTGAATAGGGATGACAAAAATATCCTCACCTGCAGATCGACCATGGATAAAATCTGTCACGGATATGGAGTGGGTAGTTTAATGGATATCCACAAATAAAATAAATGAATATTTAAATATTTGTTTGTTAATGAATATGAATATGAGTTTAATGATATTCATACCCGTGAATATTCATATCCGTTTATAAATTATAAAAATTATTTAAATATTATTAGTTTATTATACCTTATGAGTTTTATTATTCTAAACAAAATTAGTTGTCTTATATTTCTATTTTTTTTTTTGAAATTTTCTTTGAATAAAACATTTCACTTTTCATTCAAATTTTATTAGTCGTTTCATATTTAAACTCTTCGATACTTCACACCTTACTTCATCAATTTTACAGTCCAACCAACTAATATTGTCATTCCTCTGTCAAACTAATGTCTCCCTTTCTACTCCTCCGTCGTCTAATCTTCCATCATTCCTTTGTCGAACCTTTTGTATGTATCTTATGTGATAATAAATTTGTGTCTTTAAAAAAAGTTAAAAATATATTTTTTCAAAAAATAATTTTTATAAAAAAAATATTATTTATGGATATCTGTAAATATCTGTGGATACCGTAAAACTCGCAAATTAATCGCTGAACAGATATCCGCATGAATATGATGCAGATATGAATATCATATTTTTTTAACGGGGCAGATACGAATATGATAGTGTCCGTCCCCATAAATATTCATTTACATCTCTATTTGTGAGGAATTTTGTGAACTAAAGCATGGCGGTTGTCATACATCTATTCAATTTCATCTAACTTATCACTTATGTGATCTGCATAGATAGTTCTTTTATTAACTATTCATTTAGATACACCATATAGTTAAGTGGTTCAAAGATTCATATCTATTAGTTTTTATTATGTTGACTCTTGATGTTTAAGTTGACTCTTTTTCATTTTTATTAACTTTCTACTGTTATTGCTTTTGTTGACTTTTCTACTTTCTTGACTTTTTACAAAATATGATTATTGCATTTGTCATTAGTTAGAAGACCACATCCATGTATTCTCTTCTCAATTATCACACATACCTATAAATTGATTTTCTTGTTTTATTTTAACCTTGAATACACATCTGATTTGAAAACAAATCATTGTACATTATCATGCATAAAAATGTAAATTGTTCAAGCTACACAATCCGCTTTCATTAAAAATTTTCAACATTTCATAAAAAAAAACCAAGTTTACAAGTTGTATACAAAAGACCAAATGTTGCATTGCTGCAGGCAAGGATGAGGTTTTTGCATCTTAGTAGGATTCATTTAGACATATTTTATAGAGACATCAAGGATAATTCAATAACATCAAGCATAATAGAAACATCAAGGTCATTCCAATTGTAAAGGAAGTACTATGATTTATATTTCGAAGTCGAGAAATACAACAGCCAATAGCATAATTCATAGACCTACTGTCATTCACAAACTTCTCTAACATAACTAACATCCTAATTGAAATTTTCAAATTAACTAACTTCACACTAACTGCAAACTAACATAACCGAATCTAACCTTTAAAGCTGAATCCAGCAGTTTAACTAACTTCCTTCTTAACTGAAATAACACAACTAACTGCAGCTACAATCACATAACTAATATTCTAACTGATCTCAAACTAACTTTCGAAAACAATGACTCAATTAACTATTAGACAATAGACTTCAATCTAGAGGAGGGTGAATAGATTACAAATTTTACAACAAATTTTTTTTTTAAAAAAATCTGTTTTCAAAAATATGGTACAACGGAAACACGACCTGGATCGAATCGTCTAACCGAACCTACTATCGAAAAACTATATGCGCAACGTAAACCTTTTGTAATGATAATGAATACAAATCGTTCAACAATTATCAAGTTACAAATCAATCAAATGCAAAGTTATTCGTAATGCTTATTTCCAATGAACGCAAAACGATAAAAATACACACAAGCAATTTATCGAACACTTTGTGTGCGATTAGTCACGTTCAGAAATTCGATTTATTTTGTTGATGTAAGAAGTCGATCACAATCAAAGTGAGTGATTGTGATTATATCAACAACAATAATTTAAAAGAAAGTTGAAAATAATTTCCAATTGAATTAATCGAAACAACAACGAAATCAATAATTTGCATAAACAACAATTAAAGAAAATTAAAGAGATAAAGAGACACAAATATTTGTTTAGGAAGTTCCCCAATTGGTCTCGCTATAGGTACGTCTGCCCTTAACTCGAAATCAAATTGAGATACTTGCAATTAACCTTTTATTTGCAAAATCGTTTATACAAGAGATGAAATAATCAAACCCCAAAATCCCTATGATTTTTGTTGATTCTTGCACCTCCAAACCCTTGATCAAAGCTTGATCGAGTGACCAACAATATGGCTACAATCCTCCGATTATCCTGAGCACGCAACTTGTTGAAACTCAAGATTTCCGAACATAATTCACCGCCTCATGCTACTCTTTTGCAAGGAAACCACATTGTCCCAAGGCTTTCACTCGGTCGAATATGTGTTGGCGTTATCTTATTCGAAACCTTCAAATCACACTGATCTTGAAGGAAAATCCCACCTTGATTTTCTTATTTGAAACACACAAAATTCCCAACCCAATATTCTTGGTTATACCAAACCTAATTGAACGTTATCAACCCTAATCTAGATGGTCACCCAATCAAAAAATTATTATGTGTAGTTCAATTGTGTGTACGCATAGAAGAAAGGATGAAGATGATAACAAATAAATATATTTATCAAAGTATATCTCTCTGGATCTTTACTGACACTGTTAAGTGATAGCACACTCAGAACCGGAGCTCTGATGCCAACTGAAGGTGAGATAATACTTAGAAAGGGGGGGATTGAATAAGTATGGAAAATTAAGACTTGAAAATAATCACACAATTATTTTTATCCTGGTTCGTTTAACAACTACTCCAGTCCACCCTTCCAGAGTGATTTGCCTTTCTCAACAAGGACTTAATCCACTATTAAATCAAACTGATTACAATAGTATCACCTAAGAACAACAGTTCTTAGTCTTCTCAAGAGCTACTGATTCAAACTGAATTCTCTTAAGGAATATCCTTTACAATCAATGTAAATTAAATACAAGAGTTTTTAATGCTTCTATAAAGCTATAATCACAACAGTGATTTTTCTCTTTAAGTTTAAGTACAATGAGATTCTATGAAGAATAAGAATGAAAGCTTTTAGAATATTATGATTTCTTTTCAGCAAGTGTGTGGCACTGAAGAATGAAGTGAAGATCTCCTTTTATAGGCAGCTGAATCATGCAAGTTGAACGTTGAAAAGAGAGTCCCAAAAAGGTCTGAGCCTTTTTGTCTTCACATCAACTGACCTTTCCTTGAAATAGATGGCACAGAAAAATCCTTTTTGTCTATGTAAGAGTGTCTAGCACAAATAAGGAAAGAGTCGTTGAATAGTTCCAACGGATATATTCTTGAAAATACTTCTTCAGTTTCAGCAAGTTCTTCAGAGTCTGAATGGCTCAGAGTCTTCTAATGAGATTCAGAACTATGCTGTATCAGAGTCTTCTGCAGCGTGTGTGCTTCTAGCGTGTTGATCATCAGAGCATTTTGACACAGAACTTCAGTACTTGGCAGCGTAGGTACTTTCAGAAACTTCTGTAGACTAATGCTTTGAGAAACTCTTCAATCAATATTCTTCTATACTTCTGATGCTTCAGCTTCAGATGCTTCTGATTATCTTCAGATGCTTCTGATTATCTTCAGATGCTTCTGACTCAGAATGTTCTGGAGCTTCTTTCTTCAGATCCTTCTGGAGACTACGCTCAGGATCTTCTGTGAGGACCAAACAGATTCTTCTGTAAGGTGCATCTGGCGCTTCAGAGTCAGAATAACTTCTTGTATTCAAGGCAGATTTGCTTCTAGAGAGTTAATATAATTTCAATCTGCAGTAAAACTCTCAAACAAATTTTAGAGTATATAATTCTTAAATATAAATTTCCTAACAGTTATCATCAAAACAAAGAGTAATTATTAAGAACCAATCTGTGTTCTAACAAAGGTAACCTTAAAACCCTTGTCACATAGTTGGTTTATGCTTATAAGATTGTGTTTAAGGCCATCAACGAACATTACATCAGAGATAGTAGTAGATGAGGGATTACCTACACTACCTTTTCTAAGTATTACACCTTTGTTATTATCTCTATATGTGATGAATCCCTTTGTCTTTGACACAAAGTCAATGAATAGGGATATGTCACCTGTCATGTGTCTCAAACATCCATTGTCGAGATGCCACATCTTTTCGGTAGAGTCAAGATATTTAACCTGAAAATTTAAACAAAGGAAATACGTACCTAATTTTTATTGGGTCCTTCATAGTGAGTGAGATCAAAGTTGCACTTAGGCAACCATTGAGCATCTCCTCCCAATCATGAATCATCAAACAATCCTAATTTTCCATCCTAAACTCCTACGGAGATGGATAATTAAAACTCAAACTCGTCCTAAACGAATTTTAGTATCTCCGTCCCACCACCATCCATTTAAAAAAATCAATTTTTTTAATAAAAATATTTATTTTTTTCAAAATCAAATTACATTACAAACAATTTATTTTTTTAAATTTATAACTTTAACTCGAACATCTCAAAAGACTAATATCATATTTAAAATCTTAAATTTTTCTAATGAAATAATGTCTTTGTTGATTTTGAAGAAGTATCGTACGTTCTATTGACTCTCTCTATCGTTGTAAATTTCTCATCTCGAGACCAAACTTTTATTTATTCTTTTCGTTTTTAATCATTTAGTGGATGTTATTTTGACGGAGTTTTAAACTATTGCAGTCTAAAAAAAAGTTTTGAAGTGGCGAGTTATTTATTTCCGCAATATATTGTATTGAAAAATAATGTTACAATTAATTTAAAACTCCCGCAAAATTAATCTCATTAAATAATTTTAAAACAAAAAATAAAAAAATAAATCTTTATCTCACACTGTGTAAGATCTATACAGATCTCTGGCGGTAGACACCGCGGGTTCAAAAGTTTAAAATTTACATAAGAATCATATATTTATGTAGTTTATAACTTAAAAAAAAAGTTCTGTTAGATGGTTTTTTCAATGAAGTAATGGAAGGTGCAATGTAAGGGCTTTTCCAAAAAGAGAAAAAAGAGAGGAGAGAGAAAAATATATAGTAGTTAATAGACCGTCTTTGAGAACGTGCAAAGCGACCTACAATATAGAGTCTCACATTTTTTTCTTAGTAAACCGTTTTTGAGGGCGTGCAAGACAACCTACAATACATGACCTTACATTTTTTCATAAATAAACTATAACAAAAAAATCTCCGAGACCTCTTAAAAATAACTTACACCTCAAACAAAGTTAGTTTTATCTCAAAAGTTTTAGTCACATGATATATAATAATATTATAAAGAAAAAGTTAAACAACAACAAAAAAAAAACAAAGAAATCAACATAACATCTAACTATAATAAATAGAACTAAACTCAACACATGCATCTGCTTCTGGTTCCTTCACATCACTCCATGCCAAACACTTCCAAAATTCCAATTACCATAACTTCATAAATACATCTCTCTCTAACTTCTTGTTTTTTATGAGATTTAAATTCTATACAAACCACATATGATCTGATTTTCCTTCTTAGCTATGTATAGTAATCATGAACAATCTCTTTAGTTTGAGTTCTCATTATTCAAACCTCACTTCCCAAAACAGATTCTTTTTATGATCATGAATCCTCATCATGGTGGAGTGAAGGATGAATTTGTAGGAGGAAGTTCTTCCTTTTGTATGGTTGATGGTCCTCAACCAATGGAAGGACTTCATGAAAATGGTCCTCCACCATTTCTCACAAAAACATATGATATAGTTGATGATCCTTCCACAAATCATATAGTTTCATGGAGCACAGGTAACAACAGCTTTGTTGTGTTGGATCCTCAGGCCTTTTCTGTTAGTCTTCTTCCAAGATTCTTCAAACACAACAATTTCTCCAGTTTTGTCAGACAACTTAACACATATGTGAGTTTTGTATAATTGGTTATAAACTATATTTATATATTTTTATATAATATATGTGTTTGTTTTAGTTTTATAAATTTGATATTTATATTGTAGGGATTTAAGAAGGTTGATCCAGATAAGTGGGAATTTGCCAATGAGATGTTTCTAAGAGGACAGAAAATTCTCTTGAAGAACATTAGAAGGAAAAGAGCAAATAAATCACAAGCAATGCAACAACAAGCTCTAGACACTTCTTGTGTTGAGGTAGGAGGGTTTGGATTAGACGGAATCGAAGTCGATCGGTTACGGCGCGACAGACAAGTTCTAATGGTTGAGTTGATGAAACTTAAACAAGAGCAACAGAATACTAGAACTCACCTTGAAGCAATGGAAGGAAGGGTTAAAAGAAATGAACAGAAACAAAAACAGATGATGCATTTCTTGGCAAGAGCAATGCAAAATCCTAATTTCTTGCAACAGTTAGTTCAAAAGAAGGAATGGAGAAAAGAGTTAGAGGAAATGATTTCTATGAAGAGAAGAAGATCTATTGATCAAGGTGGGCCTAGTGATGTTGAAGTTGGTGATGAGTTAGGATATGATGGTGAAGATTGCTTAACTTCTGTTAAACTTGAACATCATCAAGATTTTGAGGAGGATACTAATCTGATTAATCAAGTTGATATTAGAGATAAAGTGATTGATATTGAAGTGTTTTGGAAAGATTTTTTTAATGAAGGTAATATTGAAGATAAAGATGTAGTACGTGTTGAAGATGTTGATGTATTGGTTGAGCAACTTGGTTATCTTGCTTCTAGTCCTAAATAGGAGGCTGCATTTCTGATTTTTTTTTCTACTTTGCTTCATTGATTAATGACTTAGCTTGGTGGTTGTACTTGCTTTGGTTACATTAATATTGAAGAGTTTATTGAATAAGAAAAAAATTGGAGGAATGTGATATATACTTATTGATACTTGTCCTTATATCAATGAGATTGGGATAGTTTCTCTAGAGTAATTAACATGGAAAAATGACTTAGTACTCTTCCATTATAATCTCTCTTTGTTATGAAGGAATTATGTCATGGTGAGGTAGAAATGAAATTAAGTTACCAAGCATGCAATGAAAGAAACCTTGTTGATCCTCATGTGAAAAATTCGAAGAGGGCAATGTCATTGTAAGCTCCTAATAGTACTACTATACATGGTAAATTATTTCTTAACTAAGTACCCTACTTCTAAGATTCTTCATCCCACTTCAACTCAACTCAGATAAATTTTTTCCAAAAATCAATTTAAAAGCAAGCATATTCGAGGATTCAAATTTAACTTAGGGTGGGGTATGGGTAGGCTTAGGGGAGCTAGAAAACAACATGATTTTAAATTATGGTTGCGGATGCGGCTGTGGCCATTGAATTGTTGGGATGTGCATTGTAGTCGTTGTTACATCAATTTTGATTGAAATGTATTTGAAATACATCATTAAGAAATACTTAATGCAATGATTTTTCAAATAAGTAAATGAGTTTGATGGTTCTTATCATTTGAGTTTTAATGAAAATACTTGAAAAAACAAAAGTGAAATTTGTTTTATGCAATTTCTAATATGGTTGTACGCGTGATTTAAAATCATAACGTAATTGCAGTCCAATGCAGTTGCAGAGACAACTACATAAGTAACATTGCATTTGTAATTACGGTTGCAGACCATAATTTAAAACCATGGAAATGATATCCTTATTGAGTTTCAATGTCGTGGTAGTGAGTCAGATTGGTTTGCATATGATTTATAAAGATTGTTGGAAATAGTCAGAGAATTAGGCTTCGGAAGGACGTATGGGTGGATTATGGTCCGTTATGTTTTTTGTTAAGAAGTTATTCCTAATTTTCGAGCAATATTTAATCGGGTGGACTAGATATGAGAATGAGTAGAGGGTGAGTGGGTGTAAAATTTTAAGTTGAGACGATTTTTGTTTCTTTGAGAGGAAAAATTCTTAGATAGTTTGATTCTTTCATTTTTGGGTAAGGTAAAGTCATCTCTTGAGGATGATTGGGTGTGGAAGTTAAATGAGAATTATGAGGTCAGTCTTTAGTCTCCTCACCTCTCTTTGTGGAAGAAAAGATCATATGTCTGCTAGATTTGTTTAGACCTTTGTCAGTGTGTGAAAGAGTTGTGCCCCCTCTAAAATGGTCGCTTTTTTCTAGAAGATGTTGTAGGATATGATTTCGTACAAAGAGAATCTCCTTAGGTGTAGAGTTATTGTAGACCTTAACATGTATGTATTAGAAAAATCACAAGTCCCACATTGGTTAGAGGTAGAGCTTTGGAAGAGTTTATATGTTATATGCTGGTGTTATAAGGATGAATTAGGTCAAACTATAATATGGTATCAAAGCATATCGGTCAGACCATGGACCGCCCACCGTTAATATCCATGCACTAAGCCCAGAGGAGTATTGGGTGTGAGGGGGTGTATTGAAAATATTACAAGTCCCACATTGGTTAGAAATAGAGCATCTAAATAGTATATATAGAGTGACACCCCTCACCTTACAAGTCGGTTTTGTAAGGATGAGTTAGGATAAACTCTAATATGATATCACATCGTATCGGTCGAACAATGGGTCGTCCACCATCTAATCTACACATCAAGCTCAAAAGAGTGTTGGACGTGAGGGTGTATTAGGAAAATCGCAAGTCCTACATTAGTTAGAGATAGAGCTTTAGAAGAGTTTATATAGAGTGCCATCCCTCACCTTACAAGTCAATTTTATAGATTGAGTTAGACTCAACCACATTTCTTAACCTGGTATAAGATCTAGTGGGCTGTCTGTTATCGGGTTTTTGCTATCGTACCACCCACCATTTATTTCCACGCTTTAGATGTCCATTCCTGTGCGTGAAGGGTGTGTTAAGAGTCCCACATAGGAAAATATATGGCTTGAATATGTGCTTATATGTGGGAGTGATTTTCACCCTACAAACTGGTTTTTTAGGGATGAGTTGGGACAAAACTCTAATAATCTGTTGTGTTTTATGCTCTAATAACCTGTTGTGTTTTAGTATGTTTGAAAGGTTTGTGGGGTTTGAAAGGGGAGTAAAGTTTTTATTTGGTCTGACTTCGATTTGTAAAATTGTGATCTAAAATATCTGAAAATCCGTAATAATGTTATTTTTTTATACAAAAAGTCATCTATTGATCACAGAGTATGCCTTAAATGTTTAAGTTAGAGAAGAGAAAAAAATATATTTCTGTACTAACAAATTTTCAGGCTTGTTTGCAGACCCGTTCATTAATGGCTCATATATTGGACTCGTTAAAGTTTTGGTAGTTATAAATATGATTTTCTCTCATTTTTTGTAACACTAGTTGTAGAAGGTGTGTAAGGTAGAAATTCATATGCTTATATTTGTGAGGTTTGACAACCTTTTAGAGTTATCAAAGGAATTTAGGAAACATTTTGAACACTTTGGGTTTGTGCGAGTCTATATTGAAATATGAGAGATTGAGAAATATTTTGGTAGAAAAAAAGTTTACTTTGGGAACTCCAAATGATATTGTCTTGTAACTCATATTGTAATTGCCTATAAAACCTTTTGAAGTATAGCGAATGAAAGAGATGATATCTTCCTTAGATATATATTTATCTAATTGAATTGGGTAAACAATTTCTCTGTGTTCTCATCTATTATTGTTTTTATTACTTTAGTTTTTTATCACAAAATTATTGTTATTTATCATACACATCAAAGTCTTTGTGCGAAAATCATTTGTATTTATTTTTTCAAGAAATCATTATTATTTGTCTTTCCAGAAAGTAGATACAACCACAACTTATAAATCATTATCTTTTTTTTAAGGATTGACAACAAGACCCTCTCATGTGCTTCGACTGATAGTGATCCTTAAGTTACTTTCTAACTTCGTGATGTAGGAAGGCTTTTTAAGCCATCTGAATTTGTTTCAGTCCATAAAATAATATTTTAATATTTTCTGTAATTTTCTATTTTATTTATTTTTTAGATTAAAATTCCATTAGGGTTTCTTTTTTCTATTTTATTTTTGTTTTAGATTAAAAGTTCATCAGAGTTTCTTTTTCTATATTTAAATACTTTTGGATGTGGCTGTCAAGGTTATCTTTGATCATAATAAAATTAAGTATTTTCTCTATCTAGTGGATTCCAGAGTTCAACATGACAGATTTCTTGCTTACAAACCTATATTTTCATTATAGGTTTAATGCTCGCTAATCCTTTGTGATTGTCAGGTGGCATCAGAGCATGATTCTCATGTTTCTTTTCGTAGCTTGATTTGCCATGAGACATCAACTGGTGACCAGAGAAGATCTTTAGAGAATTACTCCGGCTTTTATCACGATTCTAACTGCTTTAACTAAACAGATGTAGACTTTAGCAACTCATATAAACAACGCCAAAAATAACGGAAATCAGCGAAGAGAGATAGGACGAGAACATATTAGGGTTCTGCGAGGCGGAAACAATCGTGTTGTTAATGTTGAAAATTTGAGTCTTCAAGAAGAAGAACCCTACGAGAAAGAGGTAGTTATTCATGTGAATCGACAAAATAACCATGACTATCGAGTGAAGGATGATATTCCATTGTTCTACAAAATGATAGGAAATGAGGAATTTTTAGATTGACAGATCGACGTTGACAGGTTCTTCGACATCATGGGCATCCATGAAAACAAGCAAGTTAAGATGGTGGCGATCAGGATGGAGAGTACTGATGTTGTCTAGTAGGATAAACTTCTTACTCAGAGGCAAAGGAAAAGAAAATGGTCAGTTAGATCTTGACGAAGAATGAAACAATTAATGCTAGAGTGGTTTTTACTCGAGGATTATGAGAAGATTCTTTATAATAAGATGTATATTGAGTGTGTTCAGGAAAAGAGAACTGTAACAAAATACACAATTGAATTCATGCGTTCAGTGGCTTGAAGGGACCTTTGTAGAGATAGGTTTACAAATTGTATAGACTGTGGCTGAGGCATCCAGTCTAGCTTTGAAGGAAGAATTGATGGACAAATCCCCTAAAAAATTATCATCTTTTAAGTATTTTACCTAGAATAAATTTGAATCAGTAGGCGACAAGGAAAATAATGTTACAACCAGGGATTCCAACCTTGAGATTAAGGGGACTAGAAGCCTTAGTAGTGTACAGCAAGATAAAACACTAGTTCAAAGGATGAATAATACATATGTTAAACTTATTGGAGACACATGTTATCGTTGTAATAGAAGAGGTCATATATCAAATGTTTGTCCAACAAGGAGAGTCATTGTCGTTACAAGAGAAAGGACATGCAGTTGAGAACGATGAATATGTAGGGGTCGAATTTGTCGAGGAAGAATCTGATAGGAGGGTAAATTATGTGTTGCAGAGAATTTTACTAGCATCTAAAGATGAAGGACAACGCAAGAATTTGTTTAAAACACATTGTTATATCATGAACAATGTGTATAATTTGATTGTGGATAGTGACAGTATGGAGAATCTGGTGTCGCCGAAATTGGCGGATTATTTGAAGTTGTCCACACAACCCCATAAGAAGTCATACACGATTGGTTGGGTAAACAAGGGCTTCCAAGTTTGAGTAACACTAGCTTACGAAGTTCCTATCTCCATCGGAAAGCATTACAGATACTTTTTGATATTCTTGATATTTATGTTTGTCATATTTTACTTGGTAGGCTTTGCCAACATGATAATGCTATCATTATCGAGGATGGAGATAACGTGATTATGTTTATGGGCACACATGAAATTGTTATGGCTCCTGTTTTGCACTTTGCTAAGAATTCA